TAATTGGGAGACAGAAACCTAAAGGAACGCACATTTAATTGAATGTATACTTTTACCATCTAGAGTTTCAGTCATCTTTGCTATTGATATTTTAAATCGAATATAGATAATACCATTTTTCTTAACCAAAGATAACAAGAATGAGGCCTAATAGTCTAGAAGAGACTTATTAGTTTTAAATCATAAAATAAAAGTCTAGTCATATGTCTATAGCACATTGTGCAACCCATGCGTCTATTTTTTTTTTTTTAATATCTTTCATGTTTGGGAATGTAATAGTTAACTTTTCTTAAATCCCAATCCGGAAAAGTCATAACAAAAAAAAAAATTTCATTCAGTAAAAAATATAGAATATTCTTGCTAAGTCTAGTAAGGATATATTTGCATCAATACCAACAAAAACATTTTCTCTCTCTAAAAATTTTTTCTCCACCTTCTCTCCTCTAAAAAAAACCCTAAGCAATGGCTACTCTTTGCTTCCGGCTACCATGACTAGCAAGCCTTCAAATTCAAGTGCTAATCGCACTTTTGCGAGCCTTTTCAACAAGCCATATACACCTACAATCCCCAAAGAGGTACCGGTCTCCATTGATTCGGGCATCACAGATTATTAAAAAAGTCTTTTTTTTTTTTCAATGGTTCGCCCAAACTAGAGTTCCATGATGATGAATTCAAAGCCTTAATCGCCCCGCATAAAATGTGTCTTGTCGGCAAATTCTCCTACGGGCACCCTAAAATGGAAGACGTAAGGGAGGAATTTAAGAAAATAGGATTCAAAGGATCATTCTTTCCCAGTCTTATCAAACCCCGTCACGTCTTGAAACGATTCGAGCTTGAGGAAGATTATCAACACTGTTGGATTTCTTCGATTTGGAACATTGCGGGATATCAAATGCGGATTTTGAAATGGCATCCATGCTTTAAATTCGAAGAGGATCCACCAATTGTCCTAATTTGGGTCTCACTTCATGAACTTCCTTTAGAATGGACTCGTCCAAAGGTTCTATATTCGATTGTCATCGCAGTAGGAAAGCCCTTGCAGATCGATGCTCCCACCCTCAATTTGAGAAGACCTTCGGTTGCACGTTTCTGTGTGGAGGTCGATCTGACAAAAGAGCTTCCAAAGCTGATAAAAAAAAAAGGTAAAAAGGGCAAGAAGCATGAGCAGTACTACACCTATGAATACATTCCGGCTTACTACACGAAGTGCTGCAAGATCGGGAAAAAAGTCACGGAATGTAGGAAAGGAAAACCCTCGCATCAACAGTATATTAAAGATGTTGCACAAATCACCAAGTCTATGGAACTTGCAGTGCTTAAGGAGCCAGTGAATTCCACTAGTTATGGTCCCAAAAAGGTTCGGTTGTTCTTTCCAAATCAATTCCAAAGTGGCAGCCGAAATCCGATATCTCGCGATCAGAAACTTCTAAGTAAGATAAAGCATCGACTTCTGGCCTTTCTGATAAGGAAAACAAATCCATCCCTATTGATGTTGATGGCCAGCTTGCATAAAAAAATGTCGCACTGGAAGCAGTTTCGACAAAAGCTCAAAATCAGACGCAGCTGCCCGCTGTGGAGGATCAATCCGCAAACCTTGATTCTGGTTTTAAAAATTCAGAACAATGCGCTATTTTAAGTGATTTAAATCATTCTACTAATGTTTCAGTTTCTGTTGAGTCTGTTAAAAATATTTAGATGACAAAAATCAAGATCTCCCACGAATAGAAGCAACTTAAATGCAAATTATTCCCTCGGATGATTCTCAAATTGGCCGCCGCAACTCTCCAGTCGAAGATGAGGATGATCCGCAATGTAGATGGTTAGATGGGGAGAAGGATGACGCCCTAATTCATGAGTCTGAAAGTTTCACGGCGGTGAAACGAAGAAAGAGCATGAAAACTAAAGCCGAGAGGCTCAAATGCTGGATGGATTCGTGCTTCGGCGCTCACTACGGTTACAATAATTTAGTTTTTCCCCTCATTATTTTTTTTAAATGATTAGTCATTTATTTTGGAATGTTAGAGGTGTTAATAATCATACATCTCAAAGACGTTTAAAATTCTCGTTTGTATTGGTTCTTAGTTTTTATCAAAACATAATAAAGATATAACAAACATCCAAATGAGATAAAAATTGAACATTCACTTTTTTCTTTTTTTTAAAAAAATAAAACATAACAAAATTATAGACTATCAAAAAAATCACAACTAAAAACTATAAAAAAAAAAAATCAACTAAAAAAGATGCTACCGTTTTGAAGAACTAGTTCAAGAAAACAAAAAGAAAGATATTTGATTTTTAGACTGTAGAGGGAGAAAGGGAGAGTGACTACTGACTAGGATTTGAGAGAGAGAGAGAGAGAGAGAGAGAGAGAGAGAGAGAGAGAGAGAGAGAGAGAGAGAGAGAGAGAGAGAGAGAGAGAGAGAGAGAGAGAGAGGAATTGGCTGTATTACGTAGTGGCTGGCAACTTGTCTGGTATGGTAAAAGTAATGTTGGCCGATACTCACTGTTCACTTGGATGTTATTTGTTGGGTATGAATCATATAGGCCCACATTACAATTTATGTTTTGTACAATTTTTAAATCTTAGTTTGCAAGAAAGAAATTTGGTAGATGTTAATGAAAATGAAAAAGGGTTTTTTCCTTCCTCATATGCATTAGTAATTGATGTCGTGAAGTGGATGATTGTATATTTTAAGAAACAATATTATCAATTAATGTGATTGAATGAATTCTCTCCAACAATTTCAAATAGGTGTTATTAAAAAAAACATAAACAATTAAATTTGTTTAAAACCAATCAATCAATATTAATTATTAATTGATGTGGTTAAATAATTAGTTCTTATTCAAGGCAAACCTTAACAAGTATAAATACATCCCTTATTTTTCTTTTTCGCTGATAAATAACTCCATGTACGAATCAATTTTTTGTTTTTTTTGAAAGGTCATTGAAACTAATTTTATGCTTTCTTTTCCCTTTCATTTTCCATCACATTTTAGGCCAAAAAGATCAATGGCATGACGTTCTATGCGACACTATAATCATTCGGAAAAAGGCTAATGAGTGACGATACTAAATTACTGCTTAATTGGTAAGTGATTCAGTTTTGCTCTCCATTATTAATTGTTTGATAAGAAAATTCATGCCGATAAAAAAATGGTAAATTTTCGTACTTTTATTATCTTTTTATTGCTTTTTCTTTTCATAAATTTTTAGATTACATGTAAACAATATCGTATGATTTCTATTATGAGATTGTTTAATTATTAGTCTTTTTGCTTTGAATCAATCGATTTGGTAGTTCTTTCTCACTAATCAATTATAGGTTATTTGATCAACTGAATTTGTAATTGTGATTATGGATAATTGTTGGCCTTATTATTTTTTCTGCAGTAACCTTCCAATATCTGAATTAGAGTAATTATAAACTCTCACTAACCCTATTTTCTCCAAAAGGTTTTGGATTATACTAGATTAATTTCATGGATTCCACAACCCCCCTTTTTGTATTCCTAAGACAAATAAGGAACAAGAGGGAGAAATCAACGTATCGAAAGTATCAATAGCTGCAGTTAAATTGTTTCTTTTTACCACATATTCAGATTATTACATATTTTTTAGGAGGATATATTAATCTTTTTTTTATTTTTGGATAGTTTTTCTCTTATTGGATACTACTTGCCTTTTTATTGGAAAAGATAGAAAATTATCCAAAAGGAAAAATAATAAACAAGTGTTTAATTTTGGCTGAAGCAATGGAGAATATGAATGATAAGTTAAACTTATGAACAATTGAAGTTTAAATTGCACTAAGAGTTAATGTGTTTTAAGTGGTAAAATAATAAAATCTAAGAGATGCATTCATATCCATTTTCCAATCTCTGTCATTCACTTGCTTCTTTAAATCAATAGGGTGTAAAAATTATTTTTGGTATAGCAGTATATGGATTTAGTCTTCTTAAATAACATATCAATTTTTTTTTGAAGGAAAATAATATATCAATTGAATAATGATTGTTGTAGGAAAAATTTGTAAGGAAAATATACATTGAATGAATCATAGCCGTCCATAGTTAAACTTTTACCCTATGAGGTTATCCATTTAAGGGTTAGGGAATAATTAAGATTCACCCTATGAGTTAATGTGTTTTAATGAAGTCTGGATTTTTTTTTTTTTGGCTTACAGTTAATTTACTTTTACTCATATAGTATTTTTATTATAAACTAATAAATTCATTTGTATTTAGTACATTTAAATTTCAATATATATTTTATTTTTATAAATGTAGATGAATAAATCCAGCACATCATGTGGGTTTAATATCTAGTTAAGTTGAAAAAAAAACTTTAACTATGCTTAGCATAAGGGTGATAAGCTTTTTTTTCCTTTTTTTTTACTGGACTCAATTCCTACTACAAATTAAAATGCTGACTTCACAAATACACACACAAGAAAAACAATAATTCCTTTTTCCCATAACAATTATGAAATAATCACCTATATTTTTCTTATCTTCAAAAAAAAAAAACCTATATTTTCCTTGGAGGTATATCTCATTCATATTGGTTTTTAGCTTTTATCAAAACATAATAAAGGTACAGGAAACATCCAAATGAGATAGAATTCAACATTCATTTTTTTTAAGATTTAAAATGAAGAACAAAATTATAGTCTATCAAGAAACTATCAAAACTAAAAACTATTTAGAAATAGAAGAACTAGTTCAAGAAAAAAAAAATTAAAAAAACAAGATATTTGCTTCTTGGACTCGTTCCTACCGCTCGAGGGAAATCGTACTACTTTTGTTTGAGTATAAAAATGCACCTTCCATCATTGTACTACACGTTTCGCTAATATTTTTGTTCCAAGGAAGCAACTCATTATCATTGATGTTCTACTTGACACACTACTCTGTAATTTGAAGTATTACACTGACATGATATAAGAGATTGAAAACTTTCGCGCATATGTACAGTTTGAGTAGTGGATTGGATCTTAGGAATGTGTGCATGGAGAAAGAGGAGCTCCGCAAAATCCAGGATTGCCTAAAAACGATTCCATTGAGGCTGGAAAAGTGGCATCAAAAGTAGGAATTCTTCCAGTGAGATGATTTCCGGAAACATCAAGATCTGTTAACGAGGTTAGATTTCTAAATTCCTCTGGGATTAAAGAGTAGAATGCATTGCGAGATAAGTTGAGGTAGTTGAGACCTGTCATGTTCCCTATCCAACTCGGCAATATTCCTGTCATTTCATTGTCTGATAAATCCAACCTGTAAAGATATGAGCATGAAGGCAACCAATCAGGAAATGGTCCTTTGATTCCTGTCCTTGCCATTGATAAACTCTGGATGCGCCCCAAATGTGGTATCCAATTGGGTAAGCTGTTTAGGTTTAGAGGGTTAAATGATAAGTCTAAGATATCTAATTTCTGTAGTTTTGAAAACTCTGGAGGGATCGGCCCAGTAAGCTGATTTCGTGACAAATTCAGAAGGGAGAGAGTCTGCAGATTGCCAAAACTTGAAGGGACTTTGCCTACCAACTTGTTGTTGGGGAGGGACAGGACTATTAGACCTGATAAATTTCCTATATCATCAGGTAGAATTCCAATGAACTTGTTGTTCGCCAAGTATAGCCTTTGAATAGAACCAAGTTTGGCAAATGGTAAGATATTCCCGCTAAAATTGTTAGCAGATAAATCACATTCGTCCAATTTAACGAGACCAGAAAATGAAGAAGGGATATATCCACTCAACTGATTACCCTGTAGGTACAATGTAGTTAAGTTGGATAACTCACCAATGGATTGTGGGATAGTTCCAACCAGTTGATTGGAAGTCAATCCAAGGTAATCTGGCTCTAAAGATCTCCAATGGATTGTGGGATTGTTCCGGCTAATTGATTGGAAGACAAATCAAGGTGATTTAGGCGCGAAGAACTCCGATGTTTTGAGGAATACTGCCTGTGAAGTTGTTTTGAGAGAGATCGATATTGGTCAAGGAAACCACCTTGGTGATAGATGATGGAATCGGGCCTGAAAGCGGGTTGTTTGAGAGCTTGAGGTTCGAAAGAAATGGAAGAGATTCAAAAAGAGTTTCAGAGACCGTGCCAGATAACTCATTTGTACCAAGATCAAGGGTATCTAGTTTGCGTAGGTTCTGAAATGTCATGGGTATAGATCCTCTAAGCTTGCTAATAGACATGCAAGGAGGCACAAATTTGAGTAACAAAGATCATCAGCCAAAATGAACTTCTCATTTTGGGACTTCTGTTGTGTAGTTTGTAAATATGGAAAGACATTCTAAATGAAAGTGTTGGAGTTTTATTGTATGGTTAATGTAGTTCAAATCATCATGTATATATGTAACCTGTGTAGATTTTCTCTTTTCTTTTCTTTTCTTTTTCCTTTAGGCTTTTCCTAGTCTTTCTTTCTTATCTGATTAGGAAGACAAAGTAGTGAATTTGAGAACTAAAATCGTTTCATTAATATTATTGCACGAAGCACCATTACTTTTAAAAAAGTTGCTTTTTCCCCAATTGCTTTATAGGGTGTGCGACTTGTAATGTTAGGCTAGGCTTGTTTTTTGGTAAAATAAGTAAAGTAATGGTAAAGTAATTTCAATTTTCTACTTTCATATTTTATTGGGTTAGCATTACAATTCGGATTATGAGTTTCCCTATGGAGAACTTGTTTTCCTTAAAATGTAAAAGGTCATTTCCATCAAATAGAAAAAAGCATAAGATCACACAATTAAGCCTGTGTAACGAGGGTCGTAAGATGGTTTGGCTTGATAGTTTACCCTATGATATAATGAATACTCCATTTAGACAGTTATAACCGTATACTTTTTCATTATAGAGAGTACCGTTAGGTATGAGTGCATATCTAAGAATACATCCATATACGACGATGTCTACTTTGTTTGGGTTGACACGAAAAGCGTCTTAAGATCAAGCACGAAAAATCACTACTTGCTATACATCAATAACATAGTTTATGAAAGTTTACAAATGCATGGAAAAAGCTAACTAAAGTGAACAAAAATTAATGAAAGTTTTACACACACATATGAAGGAGCATTACAAAGTAGAACATCGATAAATTAATAATTTTTTTCGGTCCCAAGTCGGGGCCAGTACAAAAAACAAAGACAATCGATAAAATAATAAAATAATAATTTTTCAAAAAAATCTTTTAATAAATATAGGTCCCATCAATATCATAAATTGATAAAGACTTGAAATTAAAAAAAAATGAGCTAGTAAAATATGAATCTAGTGATGTTTATTTTTTCTTGAAATTTATATCTAAAGAAATTGTAAATGATATGAATTTTTGCATGATGTAGCTAGCCATTGATGAGAGTTTAAAGATTTCTCAGAAAAAGGTCAAATCTCTTTTAATAGAGGCATGTTACATAGATTGGGTAGGTGATAAAATTTAAAATAATGGTAGAGTCTAAATTCTAATGCAAAATATAAATTTTATACGGCTAAACTCAAAAGATTAATAAAATTCTTTGGGATTTTCTTTAAATTAATATTTTTAATTTATCGATAAATTAATAATTATGAATTTACCGATAAATTAATACATCGATAAATTAATAATTTTTTTGAGCCCTAACAGTATTAATTTATAGATGTTTAACTATTTGCTATTTCCACTAAGAACACTGAATTTCCATGTTGGGTTTTAAAACTTTCTAATTTGAAAAAGAGGTTAACGAGAGAAATAACGGATGAAAGCGGGAAAAAATGAATTTCAGAGGGTTTTTTTTTTTGGAATTTAAATGTCTTAAAATAATTACTATAGAAAATTTCATTTATATAGTATCGTATTATTTTATTAAAACTTATCTTATTATTTCAGACTTATTTTATTGGTTACATTATTATTTCATCAATTTTAGAATTTCTTATAAAATGAGGAAAAAATAGAAGTTGGTTTCGTAGTAGGCTGGCGAAATTAAAAAATGATGGGAGCAAAAAAGATATTTTGGCATATTCTTTAGCATATATATATGAGAGAGAAATGGGGGTAAATAATGTAGTGAATTTTTACCTTTTTTTTTTTGAATTGTAAGATTTGATTGACATAGATAAAAGTAAATAGGATAAAATTAAGAAAGTGGTGGGCCAAGTTAAAATTTGGCTCTATCAAAATAAACTGAAACAACTGGGGTGAAATTGTTAAATTATACAATTTATAGAAAGCTAGTAATTTTTCTTTGTAAAATTTTTTATAAAAAATAAATAAATTTTCAAGAATGTTGGTTGGAAAGATGAGTTTCCGGCAACTTAGACCAATTTAAGACAAAAAATAATAGTAATAATAATTTAATCGGAAAATACTTTAGGAATCATTTTATAATTAGAAATTTATCTCCGATGAAACCATTTTACAAGTATTTATAGATGTGTCGAAGTGGAAAAATCAAACTAACGCAAATAGATGTAATACTTAGACTGATAGGAGATCAGATTGTGAGGCTCTGCTAGGTGATCTTCAATCTCCCTTCGGAATCACGAGAAATTTTATTATTATTAGGTACTTTAATTTTCTCGTTTACATCGTGCATACTGACTAAGTGCACAAACAGGATGTTACTGAAATGTATAATTTATCATATAGTCGTATAGGATGTGATAGTAGGTGTTACAATTTTCAAAAAAAAAAAAAAAGAACAAAAAGACAGGAGATCGGATCCGCGGTTCTATAATTACTATATATCTCTGAACCCAGAACCAGCGATTTAAATCTGGCAGTTCCGATTCCGAACCCTTGTCATGGCTATTGACTGTACTTTGGATATAAATGTCATTTTCCTTACAGATATAACTTAGGTTTTACTCTTTTTCAAAAAAAAAGAAAGAAAGAAAACCTTATGTTTTACTTGAAAAGGGATTTTACAATTACGACTGATACAATTTTCAGTTTTTGCTGAATTGACCCACCATTTCAGTACAAATTTACTAATGAAATGGGCTGGGTTTGGCAGAACAGGTTAAAGGATTAAGAGATCACAACCACACGTACACATTTTCCAGGAAAATTCTCGATGTTTGAGATTCTTCAAAACACTGCCAGAGGGAGGGAAAAAAAAAAAATCCTTTGCCGTGTTAATTTTGTACTGTTGTTGTTACTTTACAATTTCTTCTGTCCAACTAAATATGAACCAGAGTTAGCAAATGATCTAATCTGCTAATCTTGCCGACAATATGCCTATCAATATAACATGAATAACAAAACTATTGTCAGATGTCAGATCAGAGGAATCTGTTATAGTGTATAAACTTGGGGACCAATCAGTCTGATGTTTGCAGAGAACCAGTCCATGACGTTAGCGTATTGAGCAACACAATAGTTTGCAGAGAACCAGTCTGATGTTTGCAGAGAACCAGTCCATGATGTTGGCGTATTGAGCAACACAATTGTTAATTCAGACTCGGCCTCTCTCCGGACATAATCATCTGTGTAGATCCTTGAAACAAGGAACTGCGGAAGCGTAACATTCAGCTTCTCATGTTTCCCTTTTAGGATTCTAAGATTTGATGGGCAGCCCGAAATTGTGGAATGTCCTGATTTTTCCATCCCAACCAGCTGTTACGATGACAGTACCCCATGTTGCCGAAAATTTTTGGCAGTTGCGGGTGTTATTGTTTTCTTTTTGCAGCTGCTCAGGTAGGCTATCGTCCAATGATCTGAAACTCAGGTTGCTTTGTTCTAAACGCGGTACCTCCCAGAGCGGAAGTTTCTCTGCAGGCCATGTTGCAGCGCCTTTGGATGATATATCCATAGAAAACCAGCTAGTTAAGGAGAAACGGTCTTGATCTCGATCTGCTGGATGCAAAATGTTGACAGGAGATGCGCAATCGTCTAATTGACCCTCTTTTTCTGTTACCATTCCTGACCAAGGAATTGCAACTGATGCACAATGAGAGAAGAAATATTCACAGGCGCGGGCTGATTTTTTAGCTTTTGATGATTTGACATGCAGGTTGTCATAGTTCCATATGCATATACGAGAATCATCGCCAACAGATACTATGTGTTGTCCGCTTGAAGTGAACGAAGCAGATGTCTGGCTTCCAGATTTTGTTGGACCTGTAAGCATCAAGCCAGTCACAAATCAAGCCGCTGAAGATATGGAATCTTGATTGTTAGGGAATAAGACAGCAAGACGTTTTCTAAAATCTCAAATGAACAAATTTATTTGACAGCCAAAGAGGAATTAACAACAAAAATTCTGACTTTTTAGGAACAGAGGAGCCACTTTCATACCTCGATATTTGTGGACAATGTCAAGCCCATCAAGAATACGAATTTTTGAATCTTCAGAGGTTATCATAACCCGGTGAGAGTCATTGTCTAAATACTGCAAAAAAATACTTGTGTAAGCAATACTCAAATTTTGCAAGTATTAATGATGTTCAGCATCAAAAATTTTAGGTTGCAATACCTTAATGCCTGTGATTCTGTTGCCAGAGGATTTTTTCCTACCACCAATATGCATTTCTGCATGCAGTGAAGGTTCAGTGCCTGCACATCAGGAAACAAATTTAAGCCTCCATCCAGAATATAATCACAGGTTTCACAAGTGAAACGTGTTAAGAACAAATCACGATAGCCAAATAATTACCGTGCAATTCATAGAAATGGCAGATACCAGATACACATCCAGCTACAAAACCCTGTTTCCATGACATGGAATGAAATTTACTCAGTTTTTGTTACACCAGGAGGATCTTTAGGATGAAAAAGTACAAAAAATATATAGTTCGCCACTGAATATATGAATTGTACCTTTCCATTTGGTTGGTAACATACTGCTGAAACTACATCCCTGGTATCAGCCCAATCCACAACCCTCTTCTGTGGTACTCCCCAAATTCGTAGTTTTCCATCAATAGAACCACTAATGAAGTAACGATCATCAATTGGGTTGAACTGGATGCATGTTACTGATGATCCACAGAAAAACAGAACAATGGGGTTACCAAATGTTACACTACATTAAAACAAGGAAAAGAAAAACTATCACAGGTTTTGGGCAACACTAATTTGAGATTTACCATAATTTGTGTGGAGGAAAACACCAAGACATCCATTAGAACCAACTTGCCACAAACGAACAGTGTTGTCCTTGGATGCTGATAAAATTTGCTGCAAGACAATGCCAGTTTAGATCAAAAAACTATTTGGGATAAAATGTGGAAAACTACAGAAGACTCTATATGATACATCGAACAAGAAAAGGTGTATAGAACCAAATAAAAAGCAAGTGCATGCTGTATCACTCACATTGGATGAGGACCAAGCAAGGTCCAATATATCAGCAGTGTGTCCATGAAACTCATGCAGCGGCAACTCGTTGATGTGGAAAACCTTCTTAGGTAAAATAACAGATGCATTCATTAACCTCTTCTTCCTAAAACTGGAGCTGGACTTTGTCTGGTCGTTTCTGACATTGCAATCAGAAGTACTGCATACTGCTTCTGTTAAAGAAACACTCCAAATTCTGACAATCCCATCTTCACCCCCACTTGCTACAAACTGTCCATCAGGACTGAACTTCATTGTTGAAATCAAACCTTTGTGGCCATTGATTTCTTGTCCAGCATAAACAGCAGTAAATTCCATAAACTTTTTCTTCTTCTGTTCAACTTTGATCTGAGTCACTTTTCCTGCTTCACCACGTGGTTTCCCAGGCTCAGCAGCATCAATGCTTCTACAATTCTTCATCTTGTGCTTAAGAACCTTTAACCAACCCCTAGTTTTCTTCTTTTTCTGGTCACAATGCCCATAATCCTTAGCCCGTGCCCCAGCTTGACTATCTTCCAGCTCACCATTAGAGCTAGAATCCCCTTCAGTACAAATAAATAAATCATCCGAACATTCAGATGATGATTCCTCGATCATACAATTTGCTTCACCATTTGATTCTCTACAATCACTCCCTATGTAATTCTCTACAGACGATGTACAACTACTGGATACAGCTCCGCCACATTCCACAACCCTTTGGGTAGTCTCTGACTCATCAAGTGCCATAACATTTGAAGATGAAACCTCCATCAAACCCATTTTGACCAAAAAACTTTCCCTTCTCTCCTTCACACTTTTTAGTTCATCCAACCAAATGCCATATCCAAGAGTATCACTCACTATATTTTCTGCACTAACAATAGACTCTGATGAAAGGGATTCTTCGGCATCAAAGAAAAGCTCATCCCTCTCATCAAAACCCAGCATTTCGCTGACTGGTTCTCAATCCAAAATTCCACATCAAATCCTAATTCTCATCTGACTTTCCAGCAATTCAAGACTGACAGAAACCCCTCATTAAGTACTTATGCAATCCCAAAATTGCGGACCGGGTCTCCCTCAAAAACTCATGCAAAACAGTTTGCAGTGTACCCACAGAATGCAACCCCCTTATACGCAACCACACATTAAAAATACTGCACCAAAATCAACAAGAGAAACTGTCTGTGTACTAGGTACCAGTTTTACCAATCCCACAAAATCAGCAAAAGCAGAAGTTGGTCACTCAAAGTCAAATATTATAATGCATTGATCTCGATTCTCAACACAACACAGAGTAACAAAAGCTCATAAAAAAATGAAGTCCAACCAATCAAACAATGACCACAAAGGCTTTGATCAAATTCAAATAAACTTAAAAATTGCTCCTTTTTTTACCTCGATTCCCCTTCTAAGGCCAACAGCAAAATCAAACAGAATCACCGACTCCTCCAGCGGTTAAGGAGTCTGTACGAGACTGCTCAAAGGTCAACCCTTTTTTTCAATTAAATACACCAAAAATTTAGCAGCCAAAATGCTCCTCTCCAGATTCACCGCATTCAACCCACCTCCAAATTCTCCTCAGTTTTGTGAATGAAGCAAAGAAATACTGTATATCCAAAAGACCAAAACAGAGTGACCCTTTAACTTATTGAAACATCAAGATCAATTTTTTTTTTCTTTTCCCTTGTAACAAAATATGGAGACCTCGAGATCTGTGGCTGTTTTCTGATGATGGAAATTCGCACGGGCGACAAACACAAGCGGCGCCAACAGATAATAGTACAGAAAATGCAGAGATAAATGTGGAACTGCGGAAGACTACTAATAAAGCAATCCTATGATGTGGGCTATATGTGTAAATAATGTCTCTTCACAATACTGCAAGAGCTCAGAGAAACTCTTTTTCTTTTCTTCCTTCCCCCTCAAATGTCACCACTCAACATACAATCCAAAAGTCAATTTTACACGAACTTCAAGAAGAAACGCCTTCCTCCCTCTGAAAAAAAAAACACACACACACACACGCGAAACCCCAAGTCAGAGGCTAACTCAGAAATGAAATGGAATTGTCACGAATATAAACTATAAAGTTAAAATAACTACCAAGATTGAATTTTTTCTTTTACTTTTCACTTTTTTTGATCACGGCCCATTTGACATTGTTGAATCATGACGGTAAATTCATGGTTTATAGCAATGAAAACTTTCATATGAGATAGGACAAATATATATTTTTTGTGGACTAAATCAAAGAAATTGAAAAACATCCTGAACCCACCAACACAAAACCGGCAGAATGATCCATATACTATTAAATTATGAGAAAATGGAAAAAATAAATTAGACCCAAAACCTTTTTTTTTTTTTTGATTTGGAGCAGCATACAGGCTGTGAGGTTGTCTGTGTCTCACTCTCCCCACACGCGCACACACACACACAAGAAAAAAAATACAGAGACTCACGTCGTCCAAATCCACAGCCTCTTCGACCTAGTGGGAAGGTGCATTAGCATATTTAGCTGTGGAGCTGTCCAAGATACTATAAAGATTGCATTTTGTTTGTCTCCTTCAATCAATCTAAAGACATTGTTTCTATAATTTATTAATTGATTCAGTGTTTAAAAAAAAAAAAAAAAAGAAAAACCCAATAATCTTGGGCTAAGAAAGTGAAAGAGTAAAAACCAAATCGTATTCAATCAAAAATTCGTACAAGATTATAAATGGCGAGATCTTAATCAATCAAGAATTCAGTTATTGAGATACGAATAGTTATTAGTTATAATGCTCGAATTTTGTGGCCATTCCTTTTAGACTAATCAAAGGGATTACAACTCAAAGGGATTTGCTTCTTTTAATCATACATTAACTTTTACAGTGTCAAACAACTCAAAAAATTTGAACCCACCAAAAACCATGAACAATAATGCTGCAGAATCATCACTTGTATAATGTTGGTTGGTCAAGAAGAATAAATTCTGCGTGTAATGTAAAAGATGCTGCAATCCAGGAAATAATAGATTCAATGATTCTAGAGAATCAAATGCGAAGAATTATAAAGGGGGTGATGGGTTGCCTTCAAACTTAGGATTAATTTACACGTACACTCTTCTGACTTTAGTGGTTGTTAAGGTGACAACTAAGAAAGTATCGTGCCCGAATTATACGATTCTTGGATATTTGGATTGCTGTTTTTTACCTCTGCATTTTTGCCCGTAACGAGAAAAGGGAGAAAATTTTGCTAAGTAGTAAATGTAATTTCAGATAATGTAAGTATAAGTTTCGACTTTCGACAACTTTTTAATACTGGTCATTTTTTCAGTAGAGTTTGGCATTTATTCAACCGGTAAGTATCTTTTATAACTCTTTTCACTTGATATAACATATTATGTAAATTATGTAAAAAAAAAAAAAGTAACAGTAAAACATTTCTAAATTGTGAAATTAGAAAATGAGAGACCCTTCTGAAAATAAAAACATTGTCACTTTTATTCAGTATGTCTTCGCATACATATGCATTCGCAAAATTTTATAGTATCAACCTTTGTGTCAATATGTATTCAACATCAACTACTGAATCTTGAACTGTAAGGAATAATATCCATTTGACAATATTTTTGTCAATAATGCATATAATTACATTTGTTCCCCTTTATTCTTAAGTTAGATTATGAAATTCTTGAATTGTATTTTAGACCGTGGACTAATAATAAAGTAGAATTAGGCGAGAAAATAATAGTTCAGAAAATGTCGTAGTCCCAATAGAAACACAACACTTCTAAAAATAAGAAAATACAACATACTTCCTTCCAAAATTATTGTCTATTTTGAAATTTCACTTTTAGTTCAATTTGAATTGAAAATAAAAATCTAAATTGGACAATAATTTTTTGGATGGATTCTGTTGCAGCACAATTTCGAATATAAGTGAAAAATTCAAGGTGGACAATAATTTTGAGACATAGAGAGTACTAAATAATTTTTAATACTTTCACATGAAATTATCCAAACTTTTTGACTCTATAAATATATAAAATAATGAAACACGAATTCTCCCGTCTTATCAGAAGAAACTTTTTGGCAATAATGAAAGCAAAAAAGGGAACTATCAATTTTTGTGAAGCTCATGAATGGGCCCCTACGACAGCTATTCCTATATCCACAGCTGGACTAAAAAGTGTTAATGGCCCATATCTTTATGGACCAGATGTATATAATAAGGACTTTAAATTTAACAGTTTGAACATGATCGGTCTGCCTTGAATTCTTGGACCTGTACTGCATGCCGAGTGCCGACTCAAGAATTTTACCAATTTTTTATTTTCTCGTTAAGTTTTTTCCCCCTACAACTAGTATTTAACTTATTCATGACTTTTTACATAAATTTCTTTAGAGAGACTTACTTTGCCACAATGACTAATGTCCAATTGATTAGCTAAAATCTAAAGAATCGTCACTTTAAAATTAGTCTATCACTATATCAAAATTGATACAATCTTTCACTTTAGTTATCATTTTTTATTTTTTCCTGCTCGATATCTCGCGAATAAAACATCATTCAAAATTTCAAATGCATACCGATGAAGCAATTCACCATTTCTAGTTTGTTCACAAGTAAAAACAAAATTTTTTTTTTAAAAAAAAAGTCACAGTGACAAGAGACTTATATATTCTTTTTGAAAAAAGTTGTAGAGAATAAGAGATGTCGAGATCAAGTAATATAACCAATATAAATTTGTAAAATGATATGACGTGACAAAAAGTTCAGAATGGAATGAAAATTGGAAAAACATCGTAATTACCTCAAGCAACAATCGAGAATGTTGGTGGTCGACACAAGTTATGGGAGCTCGATGGACAGCTTCCAAAAAGGAAAACCAGAGAGTGAAGAGAAGATGGAGATGGAATTTCAATGTGGACAGATGACCACTTTTTGTGAAGATGATAAGAGTGATATGACAAAGATATATATAAAGACACTCATATTTATAAGAATATTTCCTCTTATTAATTAATTATTACTATAAAAAAATTCAAGTAGTAATCCTCTAACCAAGAAATCCATAGTTCCAAATGGTTGGGGTTACGTGTTGTTTGAATTGCCATATCTCCTAATTATATATTTATTTTTCTTTTCCACAATTATTTAACCTCTTCTGACCATGTTGACCAAATATGGCCACCAATTATATGAGCGACATATGAGTTTAAGTGTGAAGATTCCCTTTTGGCTAAAACAGTTCACTGCCCAAGCTTTACTTTTTTGACTATGTAGTTTGTTTCATTGATGAATTAATATAATTAAAAAAATTCATTATAATTTGATATAAAAATGAAGGGTATTATAATCATATAAAATGTTATTGATGTTTTCACTAGTAAGTCGAGTGTGTTATAATTTCTAGGGTATTCTTACGAAATTCAGTTGATCAGTCCGACACAAGACAAACACTTTTTATGATACGTTGTGTTACATGAATTTTTTTAATTAGTGCTAGCCTCATGTTATTAACATTCATTTTCATCATGTTAACATTTTACTTAGGTTCACATTATTTTTGTTATGGCTTATTTATTTTAAAATTTTGTTGTAAAAAATCCAAAAAGTATCATAAAATTTCATTGGAGATATAATGTGTATAGAATTATTAAAATATCAAAATGAAATTCGTCTCCAGTGAATAATGTGTACATGTCATATGTCTCAATTATAAAAGGGTACGTAATACAAATATGTTACCTATCCGACAGTGAACACTTAGTGATATGCATAAAAAAAAAAAGAATTAAGAAAAAACTTGTATATTTTCGTCCATAAATTTGCCTTTTTCTTTTTTTCTTTTTCTTTTTTTTAATTGAATGAACCACAAAACAGGTCATTGAACTGTTGGGTAATTCCACCATAGGTAATCAATCAAATTTATTTGTAAAATAGGCCATCATACTAAGCAAAAAAATTCATCCGAGATCATTCTGTTAATTTTGGCCGTTAAATAGTGACGGAATGCTACTGTTCACATGTTTTTGGGTTTAGGAGTATTTTTGTCATTTTTAAATTTTTAAAAATTTAAAAAATTTTACTTTTTAATTCTTTTACAATTCTTCTTCTTATACTTCCTAAATTGTATATGTTGGTATTATAATTACTATATTTCAAAAATTAATTAACTTTTGTATTTTAACTTCTACATTATAATTTTTTTAAAAAAATATTAAAAATGAAGAAGAAAAATTCGAGGTGAAGTAAACATGAAAATTAATAGTTAATCATTTTAAACCAAAAAATGAAACTAAAAAATTAGCTATGACAAGTGGTTTCTTCTAGGTTATTTAATTATTTTCAACTCCATTTGATTATTTAATTATTAATTTTCACGTTAAATTAAGTTTAAATTTTTCTTCTTTAGTTTTTCTTCTTCTTTTTTTTATAATCTGGAAGTTAATCTACGAATGACAAATAAATTTTTAAAATGTAATTATTATACTAGTACCAACATATACAAGTTAGGAAGTAAAAGAAGAAGAATTGTTAAAAAAAATTAATAAAAATATTAATAATTTTTAAAAATATAAAATGATTAAATTATCTTTGGACCCAAAAGTATGTGAATAATATATTTCCATCACGTTTTAACGCTCAAAATAACCTAGATGAAACAACTTCTCTTAGATGAAAATTATTTATTAAGTTGAATCATGACGGAGAGCTATTGTTCACATTTTTTTAATCCATGGGTAATTTCATTATTCTGTATTTTTCTTAGAATATATTAATATTTTAATTATTTTTTTTTTACAATTCTTCTTCTTGCACTTCCTAACTTGTATATGTTGGTATTATCATAATTATTACAATTCAAAAATTTATTTTCCATTTGTATATTAACTTCCAGATTATAAAAGGGAGAAAAAAAAAGAAGAAAATTTTAAATTTAATATAACGTAAAAATTAATAATTAAATAATCAAATCGAGTTGAAAATAATTAAATAACCTAGAAGAAACAAATTGTCTTAGCTAATTCTTTAGTTTCACTTTTTGGTTTAAAATGATTAACTATTAATTTCATGTTTACTTCACCTCAAATTTTTGTTCTTCATTTTTTATTTTTTTTAAAAAATTATAATCTAGAAGTTAAAATACAAAAATTAATTAATTTTTGAAATTTAGTAATTATAATACCAACATATACTAGTTAGGAAGTATAAGAAAAAAAATTAAAAAGTAAAACAAATTTTAAACTTTTAAAACTTTAAAAATGACAAAATGACAAAAATACTCCTAAACCCCAAAACATGTGAATAATAGTATTTCGTCACTATTTAACGACCAAAATTAATAGAATGACCTCGGATGAATTTTTGCTTAGTATGATGAGCTATTTTATAAATAAATTTGATTGATGATATGTAATTGAATTACCCAATAGTTTGATGACCTGTTTTGTGGTTCACTCTTTTTTTATTTTGTT